ATCCTGGAATAAAAGGTCCATTAATGGAAAAATTAGTAGAATCTGAATAAAGCTTAGAGTTTAGTTTTTTGGGATTTTTTTTAGTCGGAGTCTCACTCTGACGCCCAGGCTGGAGTACACTGGCACACTCACAGCCACCGCAGCCTCAACCTGCCAGGCTCAGGTGATCCTTTTCTCTCAGGCCTTCCAAGCAGCTGGGACTACAGATGTGCGCCACCACAACCACTAATTTTTTTTTTTTAATTATACAGACAAGGTCTCACCACGTTGTCCAGGCTGTCAGACTCCTGAGTTCAGGCAATCCTCTCACTTTGGCCTCCTAAAGTGCTGGGATTGCAGGTATGAGCCACCATGCCCAGTTAGTTGTTTTTCTAATTGTGTTAAAAAAAAACATATAAAATTTGCCCTCAACCATTGTTTTTTCAAATACTAGTCAAGTGCAGTAGTGGGAGGAGAGGGAAAGAGTAGAACAAGGAATTCAAACTGACTGTGAACGACCAATTGAGATAACTCACTACCTTTGGGCCAGTCCCTCTTAGCCATTTTTAAGCATACAGCTCAATAGTGTTAAGCATAATTACAGTGTGGTAAAACAGATCTCCAGAACTTTTTCACCTTGTAGATTTAACCAGCGGTCCCCAATATTTTTGGCATCAGGAACCAGTTTCATGGAAGACAGTTTTTCCACAGATGGGGAGGAGGGGCAGAAGGATCCCCAGGCATTTGATTCTCATAAGGAGCATGCAACCTAGATCCCTCACATGTGCAGTTCACAATAGGATTCACGCTCCAATAAGAATCTAAAATGCCACTATTGATATGACAGAAAATGGAGCTCTGTTCGCTGGTTACTCACCTCTTGCTATAAAACCTAACAGTTTCTAACAGGCCACAGACTAGTACCAGTTGGCGGCCCAAGGGTGGGAGACCCCTGTCTTAAACAACCCCTTTGTCCCCTCCCCCCAGTCCCTGGCAACCACCATTCTACTTTCTTTTTTTTTTTTTTGAGTTGGAGTCTCACTCTGTAACCCAGACTGGAGTGCAGTGGCCGCTCCCAGCCACTGCAGCCTCAACCTGCTGGGCTCTGGCGATCCTTCTGCCTCAGCCTTCCAAGTAGCTGGAACTACAGGTCTACGCTACCATGCCCGGCTAATTTTTGATTTATTGTACAGATGAGGTCTCGCCAAGTTGCCCAGGTGGGTCTTGAACCCGTGGGCTCAGGCAAGCCACTCACCTCGGCCTCCCAAAGCGCTGGGATTACAGGTTAAACCACCGAGCCTGGCCTACTTTCTTTATGTATGAATTTGACAGCTTTAGACACCTGCTAGAAGTACTGTCCTTTGTGGCTGCTTTATTTCACTTTGCACAACGTCCTCAATGTTCATCCATACTGTAGCTAGCATGTGACAAGATTTCCTTCCTTTTGAAGGTTGCACGGCATCCCAATGTGTGTTTATACCACATTTTGTTTATCCAGTCAGCTGTCAGCAAACATTCGGGTTGCTTCCAACTTTTGGCTCTTGTAAGTAGTGCTGCTATGAACATGTGTGTGCAATAGCTGTTACTGTGTGTGTGTGTGTGTGTGTGTGTGTGTGTGTTTAAGGGGGCAGGAGAACTGAGTAAATACTTCACCAAAGAAGACATATTGATGGTAAATAAGGACAGGAGAAGATGCTCAACGTCATTACTCACATGAAATTTAAACACCATGAGGTATCGCTATACACCTCTAAGCAAAAAAAAAAAAAAAAACCCCACAGAAGTAGACAACATCAGGTGCTAGCTAGGATACGGAATAACTCTTGCACATGGCTGGAGAGAATGTTAAATAGCACAGATGCTTTGGAAAATGGTCAGGTAGCTTGTCATACAGTTAAAACATACATTTACCATAATACCCAAAAGTTCCATTCCTAGGTATATAACCAAGTGAAATAAAAACTTGTGTTCACACAAAACCCTGTACAAGAATGTTTATAGGGGCTTTATTTATCATCACTAAAAACTGAAAACCTAGCCAGGCTCGGTGGCTCAGCCTGTAATCCTGCGCCTTTGGGAGGCTGAGGTGAGTGGATTGCTGGAGCCCGCAGGTTCGAGACCCGCCTGGGCAACTTGGCAAGACCTCATCTCTACAATAAATCAAAAAAATTAGCTGGGCGTGGTAGCACATGCCTGTAATTCCGGCTACTTGGAAGGCTGAGGCGGAAGGATCGCCGGAGCCCAGCAGGTCAAGGCTGCGGTGGCCAGGAGCGGCCACTGCACTCCAGTCTGGGAGACTGAGTGAGACTCCAACTCAAAAAAATAAAAATTAAAAATAAAAATAAAAATTTACATATATAGTAAAAGTCGCCCCTTTTAATGTACAGTTCTGAGTTTTGACAAATGCAATTCACTCACCTCGGCCTCCCAAAGCGCGGGATTACAGTCTGAGCCATCGAGCCCGGCTTATATGTAAATTATGCCTCAAAAAATTAACAAAAAACAAGTGTCTTTTCTACCAGAAGTTTCATCACATTTGATATAAAACAGAGAACACTGAAACATGCTACATCCTACTGTTTGTTTTGTTATGAAAATGTTCACTTTCCTATTTGTGCTCTCCTGTTTAACATTTTTATTCCTTGGCAGATTTGGGCATTAACAGATATCTTCTCTTATCTTGTTTCTGTAGCTACAAGGGCTTATCTCATTCAACCAGTTACATGGCTCAGTTAAGCAGGTGTATCAGGCTTTTATAAAATATCTCCCCTACTTCAAATCTCTTTTCCTTCCTGAAAGACATTTTTATTTATCTATTGACAAGTAAAAGAGCCTTCAAAGCAGCACTTCACCCTTGGAAAATTCTATAGTCTACGTTCTCAGGAAGTTGGTAAAGCAAGGCAGACGCAAACCACTCTGGAGTACACTGAATACATCTGGCCAATGAGAAATTTGCTGGAGGTTTCCCAGGCAAGTCTTATGAGCTCCCAGAAAAAGAGACATGTGTCTTGATGTGACAAACGGAACTTACTATCAGGTGAGGAACTGACCTGATGCTAAAGCTATTACACTGAGAATGAGAAAGCAGAGATATAAAAAATATGTGGGTCCTTGAAGACACTGTGAAGCACTTGATCACACTATTCTGGAAATGTCGTTGTTTAGAGTTCTTATAAAAGGTAATAACTTTTCTATTGTTTAAGATAGCTTAAGTCAGTGTTTTATGACATTTGCAGATGAAAACATTCTACTAATACAGGCCCTACTCTCACTGCCTAAGACATCACAGCAAAGTCATACAAAGCTCTCTTAAAAGTTTTCTTCTGCCTGGGAATGGTGGCTCAAGCCTATCATCCCAGCACTTTGGGAGGCTGAGGCGAGAGGATTGCCTGAGACCATCAGTTCAAGACCAGCCTGGGCAACTCAGTGATACCTCGTCTCTACAATAACTCAAAAAATTAGCCTGGTGTGGTAGTGCACATCTGTAGTTCTGGCTACTTGGAAGGGTGAGGCGGAAGAATCACCTGAGCACTGCAGGTCAATGCTGGGTTGGCCATGAGCGTGCCACAGCACTCCAGCATGAGCAACGGAGTGAGACTCCCACTCAAAAAAAAAAAAAAAAAGGTTTTCTTCTGCCAGGCACAGTGGCTCACACCTGTAATTCCAGTACTTTGGGAGGCTGAGGCGAGAGGACTGCCTGAGCCCAAGGGTTCGAGACTAGCCTGAGCAACATGCAAGACCTCGTCTCTACAATAAATGAAAAAATTGGCTGGGGCATGGTGGCATATGCCTGTGGTTCCAGCTACTTGGAAGGCTGAGGCGGAAGGATCGCCTGAGCCACAGCTGCAGTGGCCGTGAACAGCGTGCCACTGTACTCCATCCTAGGCCACAGAGTGAGACTCAGACTAAAAAAAACAAAAACCAAAAATAAAAAATAAAGTCTATTATAAAAAATATTTTCATCTCAGAAAATCCCTCTCTTTCACTGCTTACTTCTACTCTTTCTCCTGGTACTTATTCCAAATCCCCTCTACTTTTCTCATGAGAGAGGAGTCCCAGAGGTTGGGGTTTTCACAAGTAATCTCATCACAAGGAATGAAGCAAACTAATCTACAGTGACAGAAAGAATACTGGTGGCTCAAGGATGGAATGTAAGGGGTGGAAGTGGAGAGAGGGACATGAGAGATAGATTCTAAAGCGATACAAGGACACTATTGGGAAGTGATGGATATCCATCTTCATTATCCTTGATCACTGATGGTTTCACATACATACATATATGTGAAAACTTATTAAAATTTATATATTTTAAATGCATGCAGCTCATTATATATCAGTTATACCTCAGTAAAACTAGAAGTTGGGGTTTTTTAAATAAGATAGCTTTACTGAGTGGCCTTCTGTTTCTGTGCAACCTACAGATATCTTTCCTTACCCCTTAAACTCCAAGTAGAATTGACTAGACCCTTTTCTCAAACTATTGGAACACATGACATCTTTCATAAATAAGTTATTCTCACTACAGCTGCACAGTAAATTTTCAGTGAGCCAATCACCAAAAAGTTTGCAAAAAAATTTATATCTAATCTAATGCCCACTTCCTCTTGGGAGTTATGCTAAAAATACATAGGCACACTAAGACTCCTTAAAATCTTGTACCTTCTCAAATCACACAATGTTCCTTTGGGAGCCAAGCTCTTCGATTTGCCGCTGTCAGTTCCCTCCTGCTCTTTCACCCCCATCTCCCTGGCATTCACCGAACCCATAAGCTTCCTTATTCTCTCTCCTTCACAAACATCAACAAAGGGCTGCTAACCAGCTTCCCACTGAGATGAAATCTGAGTTCCACAAGGCAAAAACGTCCACAGATACCTTCCTATTGCTCGTAAAGAGGAGACAACTATACTCTGTGCCACACAAGGGCACCAAACAACTAGAGGAGAATGTTTTGTAGTCTTTTCCTCTTATATGCCAAAAACCAGACAGCTGGTGGAGATGAGTAAAAAGAAAAGACTGCTTACCCATAGAGTAGAGGTTGTCAAAGCTCTGGTGCATGCGGATAATCTCATAGTAAAGTTCATCATAGCTGCTGGGGGTTGGCAGGAATGTGTCACCATATGTGATAAACATATTAAATAGGTTCACAATCTAAAAAAGAAGCAAAAGTCCACAAATAAGCATCAAGCTATGAAGACCAAAAATTATCAGAGGTATGCTGTAACCAGCTCTTACCAGCTTACAAGAGTTGATTATTAAATATTCAGGAAATAGCCGGGCTTGGTGGCTCAGCCTGTAATCCCGTGCCTTGGGAGGCTGAGGTGAGTGGATTGCCTGAGCCCGCGGGTTCAAGACCCACTTGGGCATCTTGGTGAGACCTCATCTCTACAATAAATCAAAAACTCAACGGGGCATGGTAGTGTATGCCTGTAATTCTGGCTACTCGGAAGACTAAAGTAGAAGGATCACCGGAGCCCAGTGGGTCAAGGCTGTGGTGGCCGGGAGCGGCCACTGCACTCCAGTCTGGGCGACAGAGTGAGACTCCAACTCAAAAAATAAATAAATAAATAAATAAATATTCAAGAATTTTGTAAGCTCGTTGTTAAATGCAGCCCTTATAAAAGAATCCACTCATATATATGTACAGTTAAATAAATTACATTAAAATGAAAGTAACAGACACTCAAAACTTATCACTTTCTAACTTTTCTCTACTTCTCCCTCTTTTCTAAGCTTGGAGGAGAGCTCACACCTCGTGTAATCATGGGGTGGGAACACCCCATCCAGGTGTGTGGCTGCAGTCCTCCCAGCTCTGCAGGACTCTGCTACCACGTTGACAACTTGAAACTGGCCATGGTGGGTGCAGTTATACAATGACAAGCAGCAAATGCTACACACCAGAACTTTTCACTCCCAAGTTTTGGACATTTGCAAACAAACACACTGATTAATATCCCAAGAGGACAGTTAAAAGGCACAACAGGCCGGGCGCGGTGGCTCAAGTCTATCATCCCAGCACTTTGGGAAGCCGAGGTGAGGGAACTGCCTGAGCCCACGGGTTTGAGACCAGCCTGGGCAACCTGGCAAGACCTCATCTCTGCAATAAATCAAAAAATGAGCAGGGTGTGGTAGTGCATGCCTATAGTCCTGGGTACTTGGAAGACTGAGGCAGAAGAATCGCCTGAGTCCAACAGATCGACACAGGGGTGGCCATGAATGTGCCGCTACACTCCAGCCTAGGCAACAGTGTGTGACTCCCAAGTGCAGCCATGACAGAACTACTCATCTGGCTGGGATATGCTTAGAGGCTTTGCTATTTACCAACACAGAGACTGCAGTGGTATACAGGAGTCTCTCAACTGGGACCAAGACTCACTATTCATATGCAGAGATAATACCTATACCCACCCCTGCCAGACAATACAGTCGTGAAGGAAAAAGAGTCATGCAGAGCTTACCAAAGACACAGGTAAGAGTGGGGACCACCAGTCTAGAGATTCTGATCCAAAAAGAAAATAGAGGCCTGGTTTCCTCTATGGTTTATTCCCCAGACCACCAGCTCCTGTTTCAAACTAGCTCATTTCTGCCTTGGACCCAAGAAAAGTGTAAGGCTTCAGGGAAAAAAAAATATTTGTTTTGTTACTCACCATGAGGGCTAATGTAAAAATGTTGTGTTTGGCCAGAAGTACAGTCTCATTTGACATAAGGAACTTCAGCAAATTTATCAAGGCTTTAAAAAAAAAGAAAAGAAAAAAGAAAGACATCAACAAGCTATTCAAACCATAATCAATAAAGTTAAATGAAACCAGACTAGCTCTACAGAAATCCATAGGGTTAAAATGAGTAAGTCTCAGCACCAAGGTCTTCTAAAAAGTAAGTATGGTAAGTGTATTTGAGGAAAGCACTAAGCTCCCCAAGCACATGTATGCTTATCTGCCCTTGGGAGGTTTTTAAAAATCTACTTCTTTTTACCACTTCTTAAATAGTAATTAAGCTCAGAAATTTGCCTATAAAACTGACATTTTGGCATTCCAAATTTACTCCCATGGTGATTTCTCCATCAAATTTGCTCAATTTCAGGTGGAAGAAAATGAGTGTCCCTCTTCTACCCTAGGCTGCCAGCATCTGTTTCAAATATCAATGCTAAGAGAAACATCTATCAATTCTAATTGGTCACCGGTGTGGCAGCTACACCATGGCACCAACAGCTGGGCACCAGCTCTGGGTGGGGAGAGAGCTCATGGAGAGGGAAAGCAGCCGTTCACTGCTCCAGCTACACAAAAGTTCAGCTTGCTCTGACCTCCCTTGACAGTGACATATTTACCCAAAAGGCTCCTTCTCGACCTGGCAATCCTTGGTGAGAGGAGAGATTGTGAAAACCCAAACCACCTCAGGAAAGAGACTGACTATCACATTCCCAGGCTAGGAGTGCAGCTTTAAAGACCTTTTGTGTAAGTAAATACTACACTTAAAAAAAATTATCAATTGCCTTGTGCTCATTTCACCTAGGACACTTGTCCATGAACTGGGCCCACCTTGAATAATGTCTCTGCACCTCGCTCCCCTGCTCGATGGGATACTATAAAGAAGGGGTTCAGCAGCTGCAGACAGGCTATGGTCCTTGTCTTCTCCCCATCAAACCTCCCACCTTCGATGGACCCAAGAAAAGCTTTGACTTCTCCTTTTCTAAGACCACATCTGCTTCTTTGCCCACAAAGAACTTCATTCTCCCATGCTGTCTGAGCTTTGTGTGAAGTTTACTACTCTTAGAGAGAGATGTACGCTTTGATTTGGAACAGTGCGGAAGGATGAGTAGGAGACCCTCCAGACACTGCTGCCTGCCACAAAACACCCCTCACTCTTAATTCTCCAAAAGCACAGGTGCAGGAAAGAATCCACAGGCAAGGCAAGTACACAAGCCTGGCTTCACCCACGTTCTGTTTCTAAAGCCCAAATCTTCCCCTCAAATAGCAGGAAAGCCTTGCTAGTGATGACGGAGGTAGCCATCCTCAATTATGAACTCTGATCCCCACCTGGACTTAAGTTATCTGGGGTTTCATAACGAAAAGCCAAAAGACAGGCAGTTGCCCCTTCTGATGGTAGTCTGTTAACACGTGATCTGTTGAAATGGACCCCTCAACGCCCCGCCCCCCCCAAAAAAAAGCCCAGGGGAGCGAATTCTAGATCGCACAACCTGCTTTGCTCCTACCCAGAATGCAGGGAATAAAGAGGGTTGGCTAAAATTCACATAAAAACAACTAACTCCAGTTCAAACTTTCCTCCTTAGTGAAGATCACCTTGCTGAGCTAACTTAGGGGCTACCCATCCCACCCCTATATCCCAGGTCTCAGACAAGCCCTTAATGGACAAACCATCTCATAATCAGACTCTATAAACTCAGAGGAGGCAAGAGAAGGGGACGGGTAGCACACATGGCACTCAGCAAAAACATGATGGCTGAAGAGAGACAAAGCAGCTTTTGCACATATCCAATCAATGAGGGCCTTTGTCCCCAGCACATACAGCACAAAGATGCAGCCTCAGCAGTGACTCTGTGGTAATTAAGAGGCAGGAAACCTGGAGGACGTGGAAGCAATGATTTATTGCTCCTCAGCTGTACTACAGCTATTCTTGGTCTCTGGGATCCAGAGTCAGGGATGACAGCGTGATACACACGAGAGAAGGAAGAGAGCTATTCTCACACAGGCCAAAAGGCAATCTGTCTCCCAACTGCCACAGATATCAGCAGAGCCCAACAGTACTGAAGAGGGTACAGTCTGCAATACTCTGCACTTTAGTCCCATTAGACTTGCATTCTGCCCCTGATAATTCAGGTCAGACATCCCCCACCAAAAAAAAGCAAAACAAATGCTAGGGTTTTCTCACCTGGAAGTAGTTAATTATCTACAGTGAGTTTAACAGGCAATTAAAATGAACAAAGCAACCTTAAACTTGACCCCACAAGCTTTTGACATCAGAGACTATAATTCCTCTTCAAAGAGAGAATGCCCCAAATATCTCATGAAATAGTGCTTTTATTTCATCATCTCCCTGACTTTGCAATCATTATATCAACTGTTTGGGTGTCCTATACACCACTATATACATATCCTCTTCTATCTTCTGACCTGATATCATGAGAGTTCTAAGTCTGTGTGGCCTAGACATAGCTGATCATAGATTTTTAGAACTAGACAGGACCTTAGAGATCATTTAACCAGTTTTCTCATTTTTGGATAAGAAAACTCCATGCCTCACCCCAAACCAGCTAGAGACTCAGCTAGAACTAAAACCTAGTCTCCTGTTCAGTGTTCTTTCTACCACTCCCTAAAAAGATTAAACCAGATCAAGTTGAATGATAAAGGAGGCAAAACCGCTCACTCTAAGTGGTGTGCTTAGACCCGCTGACTAGTCTGTTTCCGACACTTCTCCAGACTTTGCTTTTTTTGGTTTTGTTTTTTGTTTGGTTTGAGTCAGAGTCTCACTCCGTTGTCCAGGTTGGAATGCAGTGGCATGCTCACGGCCACCCCAGTGACAACCTGCTGGGCTCCGGCAATTCTTCCACCTCAGCTTTCCAAGTAGCCAGAACTACAGTCACACACTACCACAGTAAACATCTCAAAATGTGTATACAATTTTTGGCACCCCCTGGTATATTCAAAACAGTTGAAAACTGATACTCAGTCAGTATGTTGCATATACGAGTTCACAGCAGCGATGCTCACAATAGCTAAAGGTGAAAATAGTCCAAGTGCCCATCAAGAGATGAATGGATTAAAAACGAGTCGTGGCACATTAGATACAATGGAAGGAATGAAATCTATGACAAAATATGCGTGAACCTTGACAATATGCTAAGTGAAAGAAGCCAAACACAAAAGGTCACATATTGTATGAATCCACGTATATGAAATATCCAGAATAGTTAAGTCTCCGGATAGATAGAGCCCAGATTGGTGATTGCCAGGGGGTGGGGGAAGGGCACAGTGAAGAGAAATTGCTGAATGGATAAGGGGTTTTACTTTGGAGTCATGGAAATATTTGGAAGTTAGGAGTTGGTGGTTGCACATTATTGCCTTCCTGCTACAACACAAAAAGACCCCCCGAAGCTTTCCTCACAAGTCACCTCAGTGGCCTCCCAGGCAGCTCCTGACCTGGCTCTCTGCTGTACCTCTCACTTCTCACATGCTCTCTTTCCCCTTCTTTGTCTCTGTTTCTTCTCTAGTATGTTCTCTTCAGCATATAACGGTCAACTAAAACTGATCCTAATTCCCTAACTCAGTATTGCCTCCTTCAAACTGTGCACTGCACATGGAATATGATTGGATAACGATGTGATAGGGAGTCAAGATCCCCTTTCTTTATGCGAACTCAGGACCAAAACAAAAGAGTATGGGGTATAAACAATTAAGTCATAAGCTATTATGGCACAGAGCTTGGCACAGGGTTTAGACAGGAGGCCAAAGAAGAGATACCCTCATGTCAGGGGCAGTTTTGAGTACAGAAGAGGTCTGGCCAGCAGGACCTCAGAGCCAACATAGAGCTCATGCTGGCTGGCTCTTGGTTTACCCCCTGCCACACACACACTCCCCCACATATACACATTTTCAGAAAACTGCCCCAAACCACCTGCTACTTGATGCCATCTGGGCACATGACCAGCCAACCTGTTTCAAGGACAATCACAGTAGTAGCAGGACATAGCAGGAAGAATTCAGATAACTATAAATACAAATAAGGGTTGACTGCATAAACATAGTACTGTTAATTAGTCATATGTCAGTAAGTGTTTGCCAAGTACAACACGTGTTACAGTCATTGTAAAACGGAGGGGTAGGACATACTTTTTCTTTCTTTAATTTAACCCCCTGCATTATCATGCTTCTCTTAGTTAAATAATAGTTTTAAAAGGAAGCAAGGATACTAAGGAGGCTGAGGTGGAGAGAATGCTTGACCCAAGGAGTTCAAGGCTGTGGTGAACGATGAAATCTTTGGGGCGTCTGGGCTTGACTCCTGGTCCCTGTTAGCTCATCCACCAAAAGAGGCTCCAGACACCTGACTATAAATACTCTTACCCTGCACTGAGTAAAAAAGTGAGACGTTATTACAGTAAAATATTTGAAGTATTACATGTTAAAGGTGTTTAAGTTGCAGGGAAGTGGATGCTCCACGCACACTAATTTCTTCACTGGAAAGGCTTTTCTACCACACCCTCGAAAACTTAGTTTCTGGGCTCTTTTTCAGGAATTCCAAACTAGCTACAGCTGCTACATCTTCTGACTCTGGACTAGAGGCAACTAACACATGGACTACTGCTATTCTTGATCTCTGGGATCCAGAGTCAGGGATGACAGTGTGATACACACAGGAGAAGGAAGAAAGCCATTCTCACACAGGCCACAAGGCAATCTGTCTCCCAACTGCCACAGACATCAGCAGAGCCCACCGATATACTGAAGAGAGTACAGTCTGCAATACTCAGCGCTTTAGGCCCGTAAGACTTGCATTCTGCCCCTGGTAATTCAGGCCAGACATACTTCACTTCAGCCCACGTTCCCATCCTTGGGCGGTTTTTGCACTGTATTTGGTGAAACAATATGACAGCAGCGTGTGGAAGTTCTGACTTGTCTGCATGGAATGAAGGCTCATGTGCAGGTTCTGGAAGCTGAGCCACGACCTGGTACCTCGATGGCTCCCTGAGTCCCACATGAATTCCCAGAGGCAGAGGCA